GAAACACAGACATGGGTGGGGATGGAAGCAAACAAACACAGAGCGAAGTGAGTGGTTGGGGAGAGCCCCTGGCATCCCATCCCTGGCATTTAGGCCACATTCCTGGTAACCAGTATGTTTGTTCTTACACATGAGGAAACAACCATAACCACCACGCATACTGCCTCTTTGGAAAAAAGGACAGTTGGAGTCAGACAGACTTGGGTTTAAATTTCCACTCCAAACTTTCCAGAGTCTAGTTCTCATCTCTTGACTTTCTCCTCTCGTCTCCTTTATTCGTAGTACTGGATTTAAAAAAAAAAAAAAAAAAAATTTTATTGATTTCAAAGAGGAAGGGAGAGGGAGAGACAGAAACATCAATGGTGAGAGAATCATTGATCGGCTGCCTCCTGCACACCCCCTACTTGGGGATTGAGGCCGAAACCCGGGCATGTGCCCTTGACTGGAATGGAACCTGGGACCCTTCAGTCCTCAGGCCAGTGCTCTATCCACTGAGCCACACCAGCTGGGGCTGGATCCCTTTTCCTGATTCCTGGTTTCCCATCCTATCTACAAAGAGCAGTATAAATTTTCCCATGGGGCTAAGCACCCTTCCTTTGGGCCCTCATTCCTGATGTCCAGTCTAGGCCAAGGCCACATCTCCCTCAGCCTCAGTAGCCCTCGGGGACAGAGCCTTTGGTGCAGAGGCTTCCTGAGCCCCCAGGGACAGAGGAGGACACGTCTGATTCTGCGTCTGACTCACGGAGTGAATTTAGCATATCCTTTCCCTCCGTGGGAAGGGATGATACAAGTAGCTACCACCTCCTCCACCTCCTGAGAGCCGAGCCGGTGCCAGGCTCTGCTTCAGGGACCTGCCTCAGTGAATTCTCGAAAGAAGCCTGCAGGTATGGATTCTTTTTTTTTTTTTTTTTTTACAGAGAGGAAGGGAGAGAGATAGAGAGCTAGAAACGTTGATGAGAGAGAAATATTGATCAGCTGCCTCTTGCACATCCCCGGTAGGGGGTGTGCCCGCAACCAAGGTACATGCCCTTGACCGGAATCGAACCTGGGACCTTTCAGTCCGCAGACTGACGCTCTACCGCTGAGCCAAACCGGTTTCGGCAGGTGTGGACTCTTAAGCTTCCTATTTCACAGATGAAGAAACTGAGACTGGGGAGGTGTGGGACTTGATTGAGTAGGTGAGGAAGCTTTGTGCTCAAGCCTGGGTTTGATCCAGGGATTCTGACTCCCCGCCTCCCTTCGGCTATACACAAACCTCCCTAAAATAGCTTTCATTTTCCAGGAACTGTGCCGAGCACTTTGCATCCATTTATCTCCTTGAATCCTGGCTCCCTCTCATCCTGACCTTACCTTAAACGCCGCCTCTTTGAGATTCTTCGGAGGCTACTTGCCGCACATCTCCCGCTCGGGCTCACTTAGCTCCTTCATTGCACTCTGCTTCGGAGAATCCCATTTGTCTGCTTATTTGTACACACTCTGCTTTTCTGCTTCTTGAGGGCTGAGACCTTATCGGTCTAGTCCATTACTGTGTCCCCGACTCCTCTGTGCCTGTCGGGCACATAGTAGGCATAATAAATATTTAAGGAAATGAGTCCCCACAACAACTCTGTAGAGTACACACCTTACCAGCTGCGTTGTACAGAGAGGGAAACTGAGGTCCGGGCAAGAAACAACCTGCAGAGTCCCAGAGTCCCAGAGTCAGTGGGTAACGGTGCAAGGTTCAAACCCAAGCAGAGAGACTCCAGAACCTTCCGCGATGAGTCTTTTTTTTTTTTTTTTAAATATATTTTATTGATTTTACACAGAGAGGAATTGAGAGAGAGAGAGTTAGAAACGTCGATGAGAGAGAAACACTGGGGATGTGCCCACAACCAAGGTATGTGCCCTTGACCGGAATCGAACCCGGGACCCTTCAGTCCGAAGTCCGACGCTCTATCCACTGAGCCAAACCGGTTTCGGCGGCCGTGATGAGTCTTAATGGCCTCTCCCAGCTCCACACATGCAAGCGTGGATACACGTGGTCTTTATCTCATGGGGGAGGGAGGATCTGGGCCCCACTGCCAACCCTCTGATTCTTCGGGGCGAACTCGGGAGGAAGGCCTTTTGCTTGTTTTCACTCTTTCTCCAGGAGAGTGCAGGGGTTTGGACCCCTGTGGAGGCCAGGCTGACGGGATTAGAGGAAACAGCTGGCCTGAGCTGGTGCCCTGCGGGAGGGAGCTCGCATTCCGGGACGCGGGGAGGGAGCAGCTCCCCACAGCCCAGTCGCATTCCAGGTCGGTCTTTTTCTGAGCCCAGATGTTTGCTAATGAGCTGGGGAGAGAGGCTTTCAGCCCTCTCCCCCCTCCCTGGGCCCCACATTACCACGGCCCCAAGGGGCTGGCCCGGAGCCAGCAGGCTCTGGCTTCAGGCCTGTGCCCTGTGCCAGCCAGGCCTGTTGGGGCAACTGGCATACCTCTGCCAACCAGGTGCATGGCAGCGAGCTCGGAGACTCCAACATGACAGGTCTGCCCTTCCTGCTGGGGCTGCCCCACCCCCGGTCCGGGTCCGTGTGGTGCAGGGTCCCACACCGCCTGGGGGAGGCTCTGAGGCAGCCACCAGGGCGTGGTGGGCAGTGGAGCTCCAGCTTCGGTCTGGGTTCAAGCCTAGACTTTGTCGGTCACTTTGCCAGCGATCTGGGGCAGGAAACTAAACATGTTTATGCTTTTCTCACCTGTAAAATGGGAATAACGATGGGATTGTGGTGAGGATTTGATAGGGCTTAGCATAATGCTGCCGCATAATGGGTAGCTGTTAATAAAATTAACAAGTCACCTTCCAGACCACCTGCCCACACTGTGGTCCTGTCATGGCCAGTCTTCACCGGACGGATAGGTGTGACTCAACCCCAATCCCATATTCTTCTTGGTTTAGGCAGTTGGGATTGTTCTAGAACCTTCCTGCCTTGAGCAATGAACTGCCAAGGGCTTCTACTTCGGGGGCTCTCCCGGTGAGATCTGACAAGCTCATTAGGCCACACTCAGCTTTCTGCAGCTGGAGAGGGTTCTTACCACATGGAGGCATCTGCTGCCCACCCGCCCCAGGGGCCACGTGGGTAAGCAAAATGTAAACATGGCCGGAGCGCCTGCCTCGTCCAGTGCCGGGAGGCTGGGCTCTGTGGGACCAGATCATCCGACAGACAGAAGCCGTCACTGGCACCTCCTCTTCCCTGTGACTTCAGGCCAGTGACTTCGCCTCTCTCCAGGCCGTGGCTTTTTTACTTATAAACTGGGGATAACAATACTTTATCTCATAAGTCTATTATACGGGTGGAAAGTACTTAGCATGGGACCAGGCACATAGGTGCTCAGGGAATGTGACGTTATGATGGTTAGTTAGCCTTGGGGAGCACTTCCTATGGAGGATAATACTTCATTTAGCCATATATGTTGTCCACCTTGTCTGGCCCAACCTGAAACGCTGGGGACGCTGGAATCCTTGTGATCCTCAAGGAGCCCCTGGTCTAGAGGAGGAAAGGGACCCCCCCACGGGTCTGCGGGGAAAGCAGCACTGGCAGGGTCCTGCGTCCCTGCTCCAGGATCACACCGGAAGAGGAAGTGTATGCCACCTGAGGTCTTGGGAAGGAAGGCTTTCCAATCTGATGCTTGAAGAATGCCTTCGCTCTGGCCGGTTTGGCTCAGTGGATAGAGCATCGGCCTGCGAACTGAAAGATCCTGGGTTCAATTCCAGTCAAAGGCACATGCCCAGATTGTGGGCTCGATCCCCAGTGGGGCGAAGGGGGGAGGGGAAGCTTGCAGGAAGCGGCCAATCAATGATTCTCTCTTATCATTGATGTTTCTATCTCCCTCTTCCTTCCTCTCTGAAATCATATATATATATATATATATATATATATATATATATATATTTATTTATTTATTTATTATTTTTTTTTAGAATTTTTTTTTAGAATTTTTAAAGAATGCCTTTAGCAGGAGATGAGGGGTAGGAACTCCCTGGCAGAGGGAACAGCATTAGCAGGTGCTGGGAGGCACGGGGAGAGTAGATAGGTCAGAGTACACCTCGGAGTTGTCAGCAGGCCACCAGGAGCCCCCGGGACGCTCAGCAACCTCCAGACTTCTGGGAGCTTCCACCAGGCTGCACAGGACAACTAGGATGGAAAACAAGTCTCCTAGTCCCAGGGTTGGGTCCTGGGTGGCTACTTTTTTTAGGAGCAAAGCTAATTTCTCAGATCAGAGAGGGCATGACTGCAATCCACACAAGTGCCCAACTGCAGATGGATTAGTTGGGTGCCATCCACCCCAGGTGAGGCTGGACACTGAGCCAGGCCCAGGCTCTGCTCTCCCAGAAGCCAGAGAAATGAGCCCATTTCCTGGCGCTCTTTTCTGATAGTCCTTCCTGGGGTCCTCTGGCCCTTCTCCGGACGCTGAGCCCAGTTGAGCGGCTGCGGGCGGAGGTGCGTGACACTCGGTACTAACTGCTCCCGCCGGTCGCGTGCCCAGCAGTGTATCCGCCGGCCGGGAGCCCCCAGGACTTAGGGGCGAGGACAGCCTCCTGGTGTCGGACTGGTGGACCGGGGCGCCGCACCCTCGGAGCAGGACTGGGCTTCCCACCTAGAGCAACCAACCCCTCCGTGTTTGCCACCCCGAGGCCTGGCAGGGGCTGGCGGCCACCCTCCCGGGGAAGCCGCAGAGACACCCGGCGGCGGCGGGAGCTCCCGAACGAGCCGGGGCGCGGGGCTCTCCGCCGGGTCCCGGGGGGCGCCATCGCCCCGCGCCCAGGCCGGCCCGAGGCTCCCGGGCGGCGGGGAGAAGCGGCCCGGCCCCGGCCGCCAGGCACCCCGCCCGCGCGCCCGCAGGGAGCGGCCGAGCGCACCGCCCGCTCCGCTCCGCTCCGCGCCCTCCCTCCCGCGCCCCCGCCCTCGCTCCCTGTTTGGAGGGAGACACCCTGACGTCGGAGCCGCTCCCCGCACCGCGCGCCGCCCGCCCGCCCGGGGCCGCAGACGGCGCGCCGCGCAGCCCAGCCGAGCCTCCGGGGCCCCGCCAGCCCAGCCGGCCGCCTCCCCAGCCTCCGGGCCGCCGGGCCGCCACCCCCGGTCCGCGCCCAGCTCCGCGGGAACCGGCCGGCGCGCCGCACGGTAAGTCCCGTCCGGGCGGCACGCGGGCGCCCGGGGTCCGGAGACTCCGGCCGCGCCCCCGGCTGCGAGCTCCGTGCCCGGCTGAGCTGCCCGGCGGCCCGGGGCGCGGGGCCGGGGCGCCGCGGCGGAGCCCCTCCGGACGCCGGGGCCGGGGACGTGGGCGCGGCGCGGGGCGGCCGGGGGACCGCGCTGCGCCCGGAGCGCGGAGCCCTCCCCGGACCCGCCCGGCGCTCCCCCGTCTCGGTGGGAGTTTCTGGAGCCGGGAGAGCGCGGGAGGGCGGTGCGCGGCGGGGCCGGAGCCGGCGGGTGGAGGGCGGGTCGGGCGGCGCGGGGAGCTGGGCCCCGGGCTCCCGCATCCCCCTCACTCCCCCCGGCCTCCCCGCGCCACGAACCGCTCCGCACCGGGGCGATCTGCCTCCCTTTTGTCTCCCTGTCTCTGCCTCCCCGTCCGCCTCCCGCTCCCTCCCCGGCCCTCCGGCTCTGTCCCTTTCTTTCTGTTTCTCCGTCCTGAGTTTCCCCGGGTTTGCGTCTCTGCCCGTGCGCGTCTCTGTCTCTGCACCCCGCCCCGCAGCGGGGGCTCTGGGTGTCTGTGTGTCTCCCCGATCCCCCTCCCTCCAACTCAGACAACCGCCCAGGGTCGGGGTCCTCGCCCTGGTTCCCTAGACCCTGAAACAGAAAGGGAACCCTCTCCCTGCCTGCCGCCTGCCCCTGGAGCCCAGCCGGGGTCATCCCCCCGGAATGGAGCCTCGGCCCGGGGGAGCCGGCCTCTCCGGGGCTCAGTTTTCTTAGGACCCCCGCCCCCCGCCAGGCGGCCCGGGCCCCAGGGCCCGCTGCCGGCCACCTGCCCGCCTGGCCCGGGCGGGGCGCCCTGATCTTTTACGAGCGGCCGGGAAGGGGCAGCTGCTGCCTTGGCGCGGCCGGGGGCCTGGCGGGCACGGGGGGAGGAGGGCACATGTTCCGGCTTTCGGAGGCCCTGGCCCAGCTGGGGAACACCAGCCTGTCAGTGAGGGGGACCCCCCACCCCTACCCCATCCCTCGGAAAACAGAGGTCAGGGCCTGAGGCCAAAGTCTGGGCCCTCAGGAGATGGGGGTGAGGAAGCAATTTGTCAACAGGCCCCTCATCCTTTGTTACTGTCAGACCGCCGGCCTCCCAACCTTCCCCAGATGCTGGGGCTGCTGGGTCTCCTTTAGCTGGAGACGGAAGAGAAGGTGAGGCTGGAGTATTTACTCGGCCAGCCCCCCGCCCTCCCCATCTCTTCCCCCCACCTTTGCAAGCTTTCTCCAGGTCTGTGGAGTGGATGGGGGTGGAGTGGGGGTGTGTGGGTGCTCTGCGTTGGCTACGGATATATCCTCATTCTTTTAAAGTGAAATCTCAGGCTGAGTTTAGCCCCTTCCCCCAGCCCCCACCCCCAAGGGTCGGAGGCTTGGGAGCCGGCGGGGTGCTGGCGAGGTCTGCAGGGGACTTCTGCTGAGCAGATGTGCAGGCCGGCCCTGTAGCCGCTCATTAGCATGGGTTTGTTTCGGAGACAGCTTTGGGGCTTCCGGCTGCAGGGTGTTCGGGGCAGGAGGGCCCTGGCCTGGGCTGGGGGTTTGTGGCCAGGAAGGTGGAGCTGCCTGGCAGAGACGGGCAGGCCTCTGGGGCCGGGGCTGGGCCTGGACAGTGGGTTCGGCTCTGCCAGCGCGCTGACGGAGGGGGAAGCCGCCCTGCGGTGAGAACAGTGCTCGGGGCCGATGCCCGGTGAGAGGACCTGCTGAAGTGGATGCTCCCTGCTTTACAGACGTGAGGCTGAGGGAGGCGAAGCCAGTGGCCTGGGCTGTAACCAGTAGACTATCCTGCCTCCAGGCACACTGGGAGCCGGGACATGAGCTTGGGCCTGAAGTTGCCCTGGACCCCTGAGTGGCCTGGGAAAGCCCGCTGAGCTGACCGGGGCTGGGTCTGACACCGGCCGGCCCCTCTCAGAGTGACCTTTGCAGTTGCACCCTTCACGGAAGTCCCTGCGCTCCGTCCAAGCCCCGCCGCGATTGCCGCGCCCTTGCTGATCCCGGAGCCCAGGGCCACAAACGCCACACCCTCTGCACCCAGCAGCCAGCGCAGCCTGGCAGCCGGGCCCAGCCCTGTTTTCTGCAAGTTGGATTCTACAGGGGGCCGGTCTCTCCTGGGCCCTGTCCCTTCAGCCTTCCGCCCAAGAATCAGAGTCTGAGTGGGATCTTCCTCTCGGCTCCACACCCCCTTCCTCCCCCCCAGTAAGCGAGTGTGTGAAGGGGACAGGACTTGACAGTTTATAAAACCCTTTCCCGGCCATCCTGTCATTTGCTTCCGTTTCCCCTCGAGGCTTCCCCTCATCACCGTGGCAGGTGCAACCCCGGATTTGCATATTTTCAGGACCACCCAGACCCTGGGGGAGGGAGTGGGAGGAGGGGGAGGGGGGAACCCTGTGGGAGGCCGAGGGACGGGCGTGGGCAGAGTTCAGAGAGGATGTGTGGCCCAGGGAGACGCGGAGCTGGCAGTAGCAGTGACGTTCACTGAGGACGGATCCCAGGACAGGGCCCTCCAGAGGTCTCCACGCACAGCTGCCCTGTGAGATGGGGGGGTTATCTCTGCCCACTTGGCAGATGAGGGAACTGCTGCAGAGAGAGGGCGACGGGGCTGAGCTAGGATGGAACTCGCGTGTCACAGTTTTCGGTGGAGAAGGGAGGAGACCCAGCCCCTGCTGAGAGAAGGGGGGTGGGGGGGAGAGACAGAGGCAGAGGCAGAGGCAGACAGGCTGGCTTGGGGTGCGTGGATACTCTCTATCCAGAAAATCCTGCTGTGCTTGGCTCGAAGGGACCCTGAATATTTAGATGTACCCCAAAGAGGAAGTGGGGAGCGATTGTTATACAAGTGGACTCTGCGCCACAAAGAGCTTCACAGTGGGGGGCAGGCCCAGGTCTCCCTGGAAATCTGCCCCCTCCCTCCTGGGAATTTAAGACTGGATTCGGGGCCTCAGAATCACGTGGGAGACCATGCAGGTCCAGACCTAAGGAGTCAGAAAGTCCGGGGCTGGGACCGGCCTCTCTGAGAAGAGGCGAGGTTCTGGGCAGTGCGGACACCTAGAGGACCCCGCAGTCCTGACCCGAGGCCTGTGTTCCTGCTGACCCCCACCCCCAGCCCCACCCCCAGCCCTTCCCGCGGGAGCTGTGCGCTGAGCTCTCCCCGTGGGGGGGGCCTGGCGGCCGCTCTCTTGGGCTGAGCCTCCGTTTGCACAGGGCTGCGTGGGTCAGAGTGTCCCTCTGGGGGGGCCTTCCTTCTGTGTGTTGGCAGCCTCAGAACGTGGGGGTGTTTGCACGAGGCCTAGGGCTGAAGGGCTTGGAGCTGGGGGTGGACAGTGAGAGGGTAAACGGCCGCCCCCTGGGTTTGGCACCCTCGCTGAAGCCTCGCCTCGGCTCTGAGAAAGGGCAGTGCCATCCCCGAGGCTCCCAGGAGCAGGGTCGGCCGTGGCCATGAACTCGTCTGCGGGGGAGTCAGCAGTGGGGTTTGAACTCTGTTTGAAGGGCTTCCCAGATTCCCAGCCAGGCAGTGGCCACGCTCCAGAGCGGGAGACGCAGGCCGGCCAGGGATGAGAGACAGCGGCTGGGCCAGGGCAGGGCGGGGAGCCCCAGGCCTCAGGCCCACTCCAGACGATGCCCCAGATTCCCGCGGCTTCTCCGTTTCCTGCTTCCTCCTCTGTGCCCCTCTGCGTGTGCCCAGGTGGCTGGTGGTTCCCCTGCGGCTGTCAGGTGCAGCCTCAGACCTATGTACGACCTGCGGATTCTAACGGTGGGCAGGCATGTGCTAAGTGCATGCCCTCATGTATTCAGTCCTCACGACCGAGGCACAGAGGGCAGTTGTCAACAGATCTGGAGCAAACCTCTTACCCTTTCTGTGACTCAGTGTCTTCATCGATAAAACGAGGAGAACAAGGGTCTCGGCCGCAGAGGGTTGTTGTAAGGATGGATGAACGAGTTTGCAAAAGCACCTAGACCTGTGCCAGCCGGTACAGTTAGCTGTGTGCGCCGACGACAAATCCCCCCCTCCTAGCCTTTGCTCAGGCAGTGCCTTCAGCCAGGAGCTCCCTTCCTGTCCTCACCATGATAACTGATTGCGATTCTGTGTCAAATCCAGAATCAAGAGTCTCTGCTCCTGCCCTGGCCAGTGTGCTCAGTGGTTAGAGCACCCGCCTGCTCACTGAAAGGTTTGATTCTGATCAAGGGCAAGTACCTGGATTTTGAGTCCGATCCTCCTCTCCTCACCTTGTCAGTTGTGTGTGTGTGTGTGTGTGTGTGTGTAGTTCTTTATTATTGAAAGTATTACAAATGTCTTCTTCCCCTCCCCAATTACCTACCCCCCCCCTCGATGTGTGTCTTGATGTCTTGCTCACATCAATCACATCAATGTTTCTCTCTCTCTCTCCTCCTCCCTCCCTTCTACTCTCTCTGAAAAGCAATGGAAAAAATACCCTCAGGTGAGGATTAACAAAGTAAATGAAAAAGAGTCTCTACTTCCTGGCCCCCCCCCCCCAGCCCTCTCAGGCTGCCCCTACTTTAGACAACTTCCTCTTACCCCCCTCCCTCCCCTCCCTCTCTGGGCTTCGAGCTCCTGAGTGGGCCCAGGGTCTGGGCCCCCAGCTCCCCTGCCCGCACCCCGCCTCCTAGCAGTTGCTCATTAAAGAGTGTGGGCTGCAGTGAACTGGGTGGCTCAGGGGAAGGGCATTGTTTGGCCTGCCGTGCTGGGGGGCCTTGGGACCAGTGGGGATCCCCCTTCCCCCCCTGGTATTTTGAGGGCCCCTTGACTTGCTGTGTGACCTTCAGGGTGGGGAGGAAGGTCTAAAAAAAAATAAAAGGTAGCTGAGTTGCTGCTTGAAAATAGAAATAATCATAAACCAACAAAAAACGAAGCCTGCCAGCAAAGAGCCTACCCCGGTCAGTGTGAAGGGGGCAGGGGGAGTGCTTGGTGGTGGGTGTGAGGGCAGGAGGAGGGTGGGGGTGTCCCGAGGACCAACATGCCTGGGAGTGAGCGGCCTGGCACCCTCCTCGCCTCCCATTCCAGCGCTGAGCTTTGGCTCTGCTGCCCGCCCAGCCTTTCCCATGATCCCCCAGGGGAAGAGGACTGGGTGCCCGCTGGGTCCTGGGTGCTCTCCCTGCATCGTCCCAGTTGTTCTCCAAGGAAGGGGCTCTGCTCCCCATTCTGGGGTGGAGGTCAGCGGTGCAGAGAGGGGAGCTTTGTTAGGCCGGAGGCTGGGGCTCTCGGAGGAGAGCCCGCGGGCCTTGCATGGGGAGGCTGGGTGTGGCCCAGGCCCCTCCTCCTGCCCAGGGTGGGAGGGGGTGGGTGACCGCCCTTCTGTGGACACAGCTGACCCTCAGGATGAACTCTCGGCTGAGTACTAGGAAGGGAGGAAGGTCAGGGAGGTGGCCTTCCCCTCCGCTTATCTCACTTCTCTTCAGCTTCGGCCGTTGCGTGGCCCCAACAACCAACCAGTCCCCGTCCTCTGGGCCAGCGACCTCCCTAAAAGACTCCCTGCTGTCTCCTAGCGAGCCTTGTCATTTAGCCTCAGCCCCGAACCCTGCTCCCCGTGAGCCTCATCCTGGTCTAGACCCTGAGCTCATTCCAGCTCCTGCCCAGCCCCGAGCGCGCACCTCCAGGATTTCGTTAAAATCCCAATCTCCGGTCCAGATCCTAAGGAAACGGACACCACGCCCTGTCCCCGGTGCTTCTGCCCGGGCCACACCTGCCCCGACCTTCCTGAGCATCACGACGGGGTCAGGGACAGGACACAAGTCCCCGGGTTTCTCGGAGGTCTCCGGGGGCCGGTCCAGCCTGGGGAAAAGCCAAAAGCATAAACCAACAAAAACATTAAAAACTTGCTAAACATGAAAGCTCTCTTCTGGTGAGCCGTGGCCAGACCCTGACTCAGGCTGATCCCCCGGGGACGGACAAGCACCATTAGGAGCGAGGAGGCCTCCTGGATGCCAAGCCTGCTGAAAAATTAGCCAGGCTGCCAGCGAGGAAGGAGCCCGTTGTGTTTTGTTAGGATGTGGTTATACTAAAAACAGGGACTCTGCTGTCGAGCTTGTGAGAGAGGCCGGAAACGTGTGGGTGAGAGCCGGGGCCGTAGCAGACTCCTCTGGGATGGGGGCATTGATGCTCCCCCCGCTTCACCCCCGGAGCGGAGGGGACTTGCTGGACGGTGGAGGTCACAGCCCTGCAGGCTGGCTGAGCCCTGGGTGCAAGCCCAGCTCAGCCAGTCCACCTAGGTGTTCACTGCGAGGGGCAGGCAAGGCCTTGCCCTAGCATGACCCTCCTCCCCAGACTCTGTATAAAGCACCTGCCCCTTCAGTCAGACAGTGGGCTGGCGGTGGTTCTGAATGGGACGTCCAGCTCCGAGCCAGCCCGATTTAGTGCTGGGCATCTGTGGGACCGGTGGACAGTGCCTGACCCCTGCTCCTGTCTCAGCCTCACCCAGGCCCCGCTGGGGACGGTCCCTGGTGGAAGCACCCCTGACGGACCGAGTGGGCCTGGTTCCCACGCTGGCTGCAGAGCAGAGCCAACCTGGAGCTTGTTGGAACTGCAGACTCCCACCCGCCCTAGAACTTGCACTCCACAAGCCCCCGGGGAATTCTGAGCATCTACCAGGCTTGGGAACCGGTGGTCTAGGGCAGTGGTGGGCAAACTCATTAGTCAGCAGGGCCAAATAACAACAGGACAACGATTGAAATTTCTTTAGAGAGCCAACTTTTTTAAACTTACAGTTCTTCTAATGCCACCTCTTCAAAATAGACTCGCCCAGACCGTGATATTTTGTGGAAGAGCCACACTCAAGGGGCCAATGTGCCGACCACGAGTCTAGGGCACCTCACTCACCTGACAGGTGGGGAGGCTGCCACTTGAGTGTGCAGGGTCACATAGCATGTGTGGACTCCTGACCGTCTAGCGCCCTTTCCCCAGTGGACCTCCTTTCTGTATCTCCACCAAGCCTTCCTCCTCCTCAGTTTTCGAGGGGTTTGTGGTGGGGGGAACCTACAGAAGGTGAACTTGGGGAACATGGGGAGAGAGTCCGCTCTGCAACCTTGGGACACACACTGCCCTGCAGCGCCACCTGCTGGCCAGTTCTAGTATTGTTCTAGTGTCTGGCTTCTTTCAATTTACAGAGGGGGTCAGGTGCTTGGCTGGGATTGTCTCCTGCATGTCCCAGGTTTGGAGGGAGCTGGGGTTAATGATGTGTACGTGTGTAGACTCAGGGCTCAAGGCTTTGGTGGGTTATCCTAAAAAGAAATACAGTCTAGTCCGGGGTTGATTTTTTTTTTTTTTTTTTTTTTTAACCCGGGGTTCAGCCAGCAACATGGCCCGGGGTTTACAGTGACATGAAGGTGGAGGTGAGCTTTCCAGATGTCAGAATACTGACTCCTGTGGCAGCATGTCCAGGAGGCATTCTGGATGGCCAGCCCTCGAGGGCCTGCACCGTGTGGGCCATGTTTTGTGTTTTCCCAGAGGAGCGAGGAGGGGGCTAATGAGGGCTCAGCACTTGACACGTGCTTGCAGCTTAGTGTCCCATTGGGTCCCAGCAGCAATCCTTCACCAAGCACAGCATCGCCATCCCTTTTTACTTTTTTAATTTATTTTTAAAATATATTTTATTGATTTTTTACAGAGAGGAAGAGAGAGGGATAGAGAGCTAGAAACATTGATGAGAGAGAATCATCAATCAGCTGCCTCTTGCACACCCCCCACTGGGGATGTGCCTGCAACCAAGGTACGTGCCCTTGACTGGAATCGAACCCGGGACCTTTCAGTCCACAGGCCGACACTCTATCCACTGAGCCAAACTGGTTTCGGCTCACCATCCCTTTTTAGACGAAGCAGCTGAGGCACAGGGAAAAGCAGTGTTCAAAGCTCCCTCGTAAGATATAAAGACGACGGACATGGAGTGTGTGTTATCTGCCCAAGGCTTTTTGTGTAATGCCTCATTTAACCTTCACGACAGCCATTGGGGTACACACGGTTACCAGCCCCCGTTTCGTGGTTCATGCGGAAACGCGTGTCCAAGGTGTGATTGGCTCGTACGTGGGAGAGTTAGGATCTGAACCCAGGCAGTCAGATGTCAGAGCTCATGCTGACAATACCTGTGACCCTCACTTCCCAGCCTCCTCCGCCTGGCTGGCCTCACCGCAGTCTGTGCTCAGTTCTAGGGCTCTGCAGGCCACGGGCATGATGCTCCGGGTTCTGGTGGGGGCTGTCCTCCCCGCCATGCTGCTGGCCGCCCCCCCGCCCATCAACAAGCTGGCGCTGTTCCCGGACAAGAGCGCCTGGTGTGAGGCCAAGAACATCACCCAGATCGTGGGCCACAGCGGCTGTGAGGCCAAGTCCATCCAGAACAGGTGGGGTCCCGGGCATGGGTGGAGGGGAGGGGACAGGGGTCCAGGAGGGCGGAGGGGAGGGGACAGGGGTCCAGGAGGGCGGAGGGGAGGGGGCAGGGGCCCGGGAGGGTGGAGGGGAGGGGGCAGGGGCCCAGGAGGGTGAAGGGGAGGGGGCAGGGGTCCAGGAGGATGGAGGGGAGGGGGCAGGGGCCCAGGAGGATGGAGGGGAGGGGACAGGGGCCCAGGAGGGAGGAGGGGAGGGGACAGGGGTCCAGGCGGGTGGAGGGGAGGGGACAGGGGCCCAGGAGGGTGGAGGGGAGGGGGCAGGGGCCCAGGAGGGAGGAGGGGAGTGGACAGGGGCCCAGGCGGGTGGAGGGGAGGGGGCAGGGGCCCAGGAGGGAGGAGGGGAGGGGACAGGGGCCCAGGAGGGTGGAGGGGAGGGGACAGGGGCCCAGGTGGGTGGAGGGGAGGGGGCAGGGGCCCAGGAGGGTGGAGGGGAGGGGACAGGGGCCCAGGTGGGTGGAGGGGAGGGGGCAGGGGCCCAGGCGGGTGGAGGGGAGGAGGCGGACAGGGCTGCCCATCCCTGCCTCTGCCTCCCTGACAAAGGCACGGCGACCTCTCCTCCCGCAGGGCATGCCTGGGACAGTGCTTCAGCTACAGTGTCCCCAACACCTTCCCGCAGTCTACAGAGTCCCTGGTGCACTGCGACTCCTGCATGCCAGCCCAGTCCATGTGGGAGATTGTGAGTACCGCGCCCGCCCCTGCCCGGCCTGCCGCGCCCCACAGAGCCCGGAGTGGTCCGCTCGCCGTCTCTCACCTTCCTCACTGGCTGGACACATGACACCAGCTCACCTCCTGTCAGTCTCCTGTACCCGCCCGGTGTCACCCTCACAGGGCCCTTTGCTCATGCTCTTCTTTGTTGAGTGACTTTGACAAGCCTATTCCCACACTAGACTCTGAATTCCTCAAGACACTGTCCTTTTTTTTTTTTTTTTTTAATATGTATATTTCTATTTCAGAGAGAAAGGGAGAGGGAGAGAGAGAGAGAAACACCAATGAAGAGAGAGAGTCATTGATCGGCTGCCTCCTGCACGCCCCGCTCTGGGGATCGAGCCCGCGACCCTGGCATGTGCCTTTGGCCGGAACTGAACCCGGGACCCTTCAGTGCGCAGGCAGCGCTCTGTTCAGTGAGCCACACCGGCGAGGGCGAGGGACTATAGAGTCCCCCAAACTGGCACGGAGTTGAAGGAAGGGGGAAAGAAAAGGAAGGAAAGAAGGAAGGAAGGAAAGAAGGAAGGAAGGGAGGGAGGGAGGGAGTGAGGGAGGGAGGGAGGAAGGAAGGAAGGGAGGAAGGGGAAGGTAACGAGGGGAACAGGATGTTGAAAGGGTCCCTACAGGGCAAACCTGAAGGAAGGGAGGGAGGGAGGGAGGGAGGGAGGGAGGGAGGGAGGGAGGAAGGGAGGAAGGAAGGAAGGAAGGAAGGAAGGAAGGAAGGAAGGAAGGAAGGAAGGAAGGAAGGGGAAGGGGAAGGGAAGGTAACGAGGGGAACAGGGTGTTAAAAGGGTTCCTACAGGGCAAACCTCAGCCAGGCTGGCGGTCTGGGTGAGGGAGCGCTTGGAGGAATGAGTGTGAGCTCAGACAGAGGTTGAGGAGAAGGTAAGGGCAGTGTTTGGGCCCGGCGGTAGGGCTGGGCTGGGCTGGGTGCGGACCTCCCAGGCAGGGGAACAGCAGTGCAGTTGTAACCGTGGCCCATAGTCAGGGGTGGAGAGTTCGCCAGGGGCAGCCTGAGGCCTGGGTGGCCTTAGCAAGAAGCCAGGATTTTTCTCCAAGTGCAGGGGGGTGGGGGGTGGGGGGGAGAGCGGGAGGGGGGGGGGCACTGAGGGGAATTTAGTCAGGGGCAGGCCACATTGGGTTTGTCCCCCAGGTGGCCCTCTAGCTGATGGGAGGGGTGGATTGGAAGGCGGTGGGGCTGGGTGTGGGGAGACAAGTCAGGTGGCCTCTGCAGGGACTCTCCCCTTCTCTGCTGGGTGGGCCCGCAGAGCTAACTGGGGTCTTGCCTGTGGGCTCAGGATTCTTGGGCCCATGAGGATGTGAGAGCCTTGAGGCCGCCCTGCACCCCTGGGCCCTGTCACCCCAGCTCCTGTCTCCGTGGGTGCCCTTTTCTGGCCTTGTATGGGGCTAACGGTGGGCGTCCCAGCTGCTTTTCTTGGTTTTGGCCCTTGGTCCCTTGGGCTGGCCCATGCCATCCCTTTTCACCTCTCTGCTGCCCTCCGCAGGTCACGCTGGAGTGCCCCGGCCACGAGGAGGTGCCCAGGGTGGACAAGCTGGTGGAGAAGATCCTGCACTGCAGCTGCCAGGCGTGTGGCAAGGAGCCGAGTCACGAGGGGCTGAGCGTCTACGTGCAGGGCGAGGACGGCCCGGGCGCCCAGCCCGGCCCCCACCCCCACCCCCACCCCCATTCCCACCTCCACCCCAAAGGGGGGCAGACCCCTGAGCCCGAGGAACCCCCCGGGGCCCCCCACACCGAGGAGGAGGGGGCTGAGGACTGAGGCCCTCCACTCTTCCTCCCCGCGCGTCCCCCGTGGGATGCTGGGAGAAGTGTGTGGGGAGAGGCTGAAGCCCCCCTTTGGCACTGGATGGACTTGGATTCAGACTTGGGCTTGGAATGCTTCCCGGTTGCCGTGGAGACCTGAGGGGAGGGGCGGGAGCCAGGCCGCACAATTTAATATATTTGAGAGTGGGGGGAGGCCGCTTCGTCAGGGGGGGCTCCCTTCCTCTCTGCCTCCTAGGGATGCGCCCTCGGGAGGGGAGAGCGCTGGCTAAGCCACTGATGTGGGGGGAGGCCGTGCAGATGGCGGAGCCGGGCTAAGGCCCACACAGCCTCTGGTGGGGCAGGCCCCTGGGCACAGGTGGAGCTGGGCCCTGAGCTGAGGTGGGTACTTGCCACAGTGGCCCTGAAGGAGGGGCTGGGGCTGGGCTGGGCAGGCCACTGGCAGCAGCGGGAGCTCCAGCCCCACAGGCCTTCCCAGAGGCCTCAGCCCACCCCCATGCCCAGCGCACCTTCTCCCCTTGCACTGAAGTGGCTCTCCCCCCGTGGTTGGGAGTCAGGCCTGGGCAGGACCCTGCTGACTTGTGGGCCTCTGGTTTTCTCTGCTTTCCAGGGGATGGAGGGAGGCAGGGAGGCCAGGGGGTGGGAGGGACCCCAGCCCATCAGCAGGAGAGCATCCCTCCTTTTCTCTGAGATCGTTGTGCCTCCCACGGCCCCCTACCTGCCAGGCCCCTCAGAAAGCTGATGAGACAGCCTCACCCTGTTGGGGAAACTCTTTCTCAATCCCTGATGGTGGGGAGGGTCTCCCTTGCTCAGATCCCAAGGAGGGGCCTGGGGGGTGGACTCTGGCTGAGCCGCAGGGGCGAGGGCTCTGTGTTCACTGTGGCTCTGGCTGCCTGTCCCAGCCGCCTCCCCCTCCCACTGCACTTTAACCCCGAGGAGGTGCGGGATCCGGTCCGGGGCGGGGCAGGCGGTGGGAAGAACTGCCGGAGTCCGCTCTTCTGTCCCCAGCTCTGTCCCCAGCAGCATCCAGCCCCATGGCCCCCTGCCTGAGGGTGCCCTGCTCCTCATGGCTGTTCCGACAAGAGCTTCTGGAGCTTGTAACCAGTAGATTGTCCCCCTGATGGACCCTGAGTGTTCTCACGAATAAATCTGTTCAACGCCTGTGTTCTCTCCCTCACTGGCTGGCTCCACCGACCACGGTTTCTGGGGGGCCCCGCGGTGGGGCCTGGGGAAGGGTCAGCTGCACGGTGCGCCCTGAGTAGACCCTCCTGCATCCTGGGGCCCCTCTCACTTTTCTGCCAGGTGCATGGCACCCCTGGGCCCTGTCACCCCAGCTCCTGTCTTCGTGGGTGCCTGTTTCTGGCCTTGTATGGGGCTAACTGTGGGCTTCCCAGCTGCTCTTTTGGTTTTGGTCCTTGGTCCCTTAGGCTTGCCCATGCCATCCCTTTTCACCCTCACAGTGACCCAGCTTGGACCTTTCCTGGACTTCAGCCTGGCCTGGCACAGGAGAAGGGGAAACGGACAAAACTGGTGCTGTGCTAAAAAACACACATAAGCATGCATACACATACACACGCACACTGGTGCTGTGCTAAGCACACACATACCCATGCAAACTGGTGCTGTGCTACACACACACACACACACACGCACTGGTACTGTGCTAAAAATACATGTACACACATACACATGCAAACTGGTGCTGTACTAAACACACACACATACACATGCAAACTGGTGCTCTACTAAGCACACACATACACACATGCAAACTGATGCTGTGCTAAACACCCATACATGCACATGCAAATTGGTGCTGTGCTAAAAATATATGTATGCACATACATACATACATACACATACACACGCAAACTGGTGCTGTGCTAAACACACACATATACACACATACACACACAAACTGGTGCTGTGCTAAATAGTTGACATAAATAGCTCACCATCATCACCACCACCCTGTGGAGCGGGTATTGCCCTCATTTTGTAGATGAAGTGCAGAGGGGTAAGTAGTGTTGCAGGGCCACCCAGGTAAGAAATGTCGCCAATAGGACTCAACTCCAGGCAGTCTGGGCTAACAGCTCTGTAGGTGCCAGTTCTCAATTACCTGCTGTGAGATGGTCCTGACACCGCACGTCGACCCTGCAAATTTGGTCACGTTAGCCCCATGCAGCTGAGCTTGGGCTCCTCCCCACTCCCAGTTCTCCTTTGGAAGGGGACAGCGTGGGGGCCATGATCTCCTTTCTTCCTCGCACACACTGCTGTAACCACCGCATACCCGGCAATTTACATACATTATTCCTAATTCCTGGGAAATACTTACCTCGCTAATGAGAAAAATGAGGTCCTTAAAGCCCTGGGAGTCCAATCTGGCTCCCCCTAGTGACGACTTCCTTTGTGTCCCTAGCCTTTCTTTCATGGCTGCTCCCTGCTCTGTTGTGATTTATGACTGTCCCAACTCAAGAATGGCACCTCCTGCATGCAGACTTCAGTGACCCTCCGTCTTGGAGGGACAAGTCCTGGCCATATTAATAGTCTTTCTATATGGCCTGAGGTGAGAACCCTCTCGGGGTTGCAGAGAAAGTCCCGGGGGCTTCTGAGGACTCAGAGACCAGGTCCAAATGAGAGACCTGCTTACTGGGGCTTGGTTTTGGTGCTGGGCCTCGGAGACCTGAGCCCTTGGCCGGCTGTGTCAGGAACTGCCTCCATCCTGTGTATGGAACAAGGCAGGGAATAAATTCATCCACAGAAACATAAAGAAGTGAAGAGGCTGCTTGGGAAGACAGCAGGAAGGTGGGTTGGGGGGGCGGGGAGGCCGGTGGCAGGCCTGGAATGCTGGTCAGAGTCCAGGCCTCATGCTCTCTGCAGGAGGAGCCCCAGAAGTGACTGCGTTTCAGCAAGAATAGAAGCAGCCTCGCGGGAGGAAGAGGGGGAGGCTGGAGAGCAGCTGGGAACTGCAATAGTTGAGGCAGGAGATGGTGGAGGCCAGAGTTGGGCAGGAGCAAAGTCTGGAAAGGCGGGGGTCACACGGCAGGGGCGGGGCCACGCCGCTGAGACGCAGCTGATTGGATTGGAAGCCGCAAGTGGGCGGGGCCAGATTGGAGGGCCTGGAGGCGCGTGGCGAGCTGTGTGTTTGCCAATCCGAGTGAGATGTCAAGTGGTGGCTGCCAGTTTTTCTCTTCGCCAACCTCAAACGGAACCACAACGGCTTAGAAAAGAAAAATTGCACTTCCTCCCCCCCCGCCCCCTCACCCGCAGGGGATTAAAATCTTCGCAGGGATTAGCACTGGCACACGGCCTGCCATGCAGGCCCCTCTCGGGTCGGGCCGGTAATTGGCCCCAGCTTCCCCGCCTGGTTAGCCTCTTATGGAGCCAACATGCCCCACCTATTTTATTTATTTATTTTTTTCCTCTAGCTCCAAGCCTCAGGGAAAAGCCAGTCTGCCTGGGTTCAAATTCTGGCAGGGCCACTCTTTAGCTGTGTGATCCTGAGCCAGTCACTAGGTATCTCCGGGGCTCAGTTAACACGGGGAATCGTGATCACATCTTCTTCCCTCTCAGGGTCATGGCACAGCTTTCCACCCATCAATGTACATGTAAAGCTTGACACAGTGTCTGGAGGATAGAAGACCTCGGTAACTGCCAGCCACCATTAAAATATTGAGCATGAGTGTTCAGCCCATAACGGCTTTTTAGGCTGATGGTTTTGTTCATGCGCTCATTGGACATGTATTTACTGACAGCCTGACATGTGCTGAGGATACAGCAGGGAGCAAAACCAACTGGCCCATCATGCAGTTCACTCATTCGGTTGATGTGTTCCGAGAGGGCAGCTTTGTGCAGGTCACACCCTCCCGGGACCGCGGTGTCTCCATGTCTGTAACAGGAGTTCTCTGGGTTCTCCAGGTGCTGACAAAAGTGGAGGCCTGGGGCAGAGGACGTCCTAAGGCTCAGTTGTTCCTTGCGTCACCCGCCTTCTCTAGGAAGAGAGCAGCTCGTGGCTAGGAGTAACCACCCTAAGCATCTTTGAAGGCCCCTCTGTACCCTAAAGTGTTAAGGAAGTCTCGGACATTATTTTTTAAAAATATATATATTTTATTGATTTTTTTACAGAGAGGAAGGGAGAGGGATAGAGAGTTAGGGACATCGATGAGAGAGAAACATCAATCAGCTGCCTTCTGCACCCCCCCCCCCCACTCCCCGGGAATGTGCCCACAACCGAGGCACATGCCCTTGACCAGAATCGAACTTGGGACCCTTCAGTCTGCAGGCCGATGCTCCATCCACTGAGCCAAACCGATTTCAGCTCGGACATTATTAATTTATCATGAAATGATAGATCGAGAGGCACACACAGGAAGAACTTCTGAAAAGTTCTAAAATTCAAGCTAGTAACAGCATGGCCACTAGGTGGCACCACCACCCAGGCCCAATCTTGAAAAAAAATATTTTAAATTATAGCAAAGTACAGATCATAATATTAGGTCTAGTAATAATTAATGTCGTTTCTAATACTTTTTTAAATCGAATTTATTTAAACAATACAATAAAATTTAATCAACAATATAGTTGCCATTGTTTTCTACTACTTGTGCCCAACGCTCAGGAAGCATTTTAATCCCTCTGTTGTAAAATTCTTGTGATTTTGATGCAAAAAATTCGGTCAATGCATTTTTGAGGCATTCTTCATTATTAAATTTTTTTCCAAGAAGAAAGTTTTGCAAAGAACGAAACAAATGGTAATCGGAAGGGGCAATATCAGGAGAATATGCAGGTTGAGGGAGAACTTCCCATTCCAACTGGCGCAGTTTTTCAGCAGTGATTCTTGCAGTATGCGGTCGTGCGTTATCGTGGTGAAGAATTACGCCCTTCCGATTAATCAGCGCGGGTTCTTTTTCTCTTAAAGCTTGGGCTAACCTTTCCAATTGGGCACTATACACTGCACTTGTAATGGTTTGGTTAGATGGTAAAAGTTCATAATGAAGAATTCCTTTAAAATTCCACCAAACACACAACATCACTGTTTTCGCATTCAAGTCAGGTTTTGGCGTGGGCTGCCGAGCCTCATTTTTGTCCAACCATTGAGGCCGCTTTTCAAATTAACATACAGTACCCATTGTTCAGCTCCGGTAACAATTTGCTCTAAAAACGGCAAACGGTTTTGACGAGAGAGGAGCAAACTGCAAATTGTGACGCTTTGATTACGGTTGTTGTCGGTCAACTCATGAGGAACCCATTTTCCAAACTTTTGGACTTTGCCAAGTGCACGCAATTGATTGGAAATTGTTTTTTGTGAACAATTTAAAGTTGTCGCAAGCTCTTGTTGGGTAATTTGAGGATTTTGCACCAAAAGAGCTTGAAGAGCTTCTTGATCAAAATTGGACACACGGCCTCGACCACTCTTGTCATCTAACGAAAAATTTCCCTCGCGAAATTTCTCAAACCAACGCTGGCATTTTCTGGCGCTAACTGCATCTTGACCAAGAGCACTACAGATGTTTTTTGCAGCCTCACTTGCTTTTCTTCCTAATTGGAACTCGTAAAGCATGCAGTGCCGAATATGCTCTTCATCCGCCATCTTCTTAGCCCTAGTTTTGCAACAAAAACCAAACCAAAAACAAACTTTTTCAAGCAAAACTTGTTAATTGCACTTCACACGTTCTGTAGATACCACGTGTTTGAAGGTTATGTCAATACAAGTCAACGCCAAGCAAGATTTTAAACGAATGTTTAAAAACGACATTAATTATTACTAGACCCGATATAACAAACATTTGTGACTCTGTCACCCGGAATGAACAAATATTAACGTGTTTGTCATGTTTTCTTTATGTCTTTTTTTTTTTTTTTTTAATAAAGGCTGTCAAACATTACAGCAAATGTTAAAGCAGAGGGACTAATATTCTATTCCACTATAGTCCGTGAATTTTTCAAAGCTAAAATTGATCAGGCAGCCCCCATGGGTGGAATGGCTTAAATGCTCATTCTGTCCACATCTTTACCACCCCAATTTCAGAGTAGCAGAGAACCGAAGCGGCTTTGCCAAGTTCACAAAGCAAGGAGCAGAATCAAGATTCCGAACCCAAGTCACTGGGCTCCAAGATCTGCTGTGCACAGTGCGACATAGGTTTGCTGTTGGTCAGCCAGGAATCCCCGGGCCGAAGGATTTTCTGCGAAGCTGAATGCATTCCCATTGTTCAGATGGGAAGACTGAGGCCAACAGCTAGCACTGACACAGCACCATCAAGTTCACAGATTACACCAGAGTCACGTCCTCCCCTCAACAACCCGGTGAGGTGGCAGGGAGAAATTCTCCTCTCCCTTTCTAGGTTCTCCCAGCTGGTCCAGTCATCAAACTGACAGGAGACAAGTTGCAGATGAGAAAATAGTGACTCAAGGGGATGGAGCCGCTGGCCCCAAGTCCACAGAGCTGGTGAGCCACAGAAATGGGACCCCAGGTCTGGTCTTTATGACGTTCGCCACATGCTTGGTATATGACACCCTTTTCCTTGGGGCCTGGCAGAAACTGTAGGTAGGGGTGGTGCAAGAGTTACAGGCCTCCTCCCCCAGCTGCATCCACTGATCTGTGGGTAAGATGGGGGCTCTGAGCAACAAACACAGTGGTTCATGGGTGGCTGGAGGGTGCTATAGGGTCTAAAGGTTTTTCTGTTTGGGGTGTTGAGCAGACCCAGGTTTCAGTTCCACTTGGGTGAGGCTCTGAACCCCCGTGTAGCATCTCTCTCAGCATTTTTATAGTCAGAGCAATGTAACGGAGTCTTTGGAACACAGCAGGACTCACATGTGGAAATTACTGCAGGATGCACCTCTGTAGCATGCATGTTCTCTTGAGCAGAAAGCAATCGAGACCCTCCTGGGCTCAAGAGAAACTTGGACCTCTCCCTTAAAAAAATTAAATTTGGCGCCCTGCCCATAATACTAGTTATCACCAGAAATAACCTTTTGTTTGACCTCACTGTATGGCAGGGCGAACATCTGATTACTGAGCTCTCCTTACCCATCTGTGAAGAAGGGCCCTCCGCCCTCTGAGGCCGGAGGCCCTAACCTCACCCTCAGCTCAGACGTCACAGAGACTCGATTAGCCCGTCTGTCTCTGAACCCTGACGCGGGCGGGGTTCCCATACGTGCATACGCAATTCAATTCGGTTATTTTCTCTTGTTAATCTGCCCCACGTCAATGTGATTATGAGACCAGCTGGAAGAACCTGGAAAGGCAGAGGGACCTTTATTCCTCCAGCTCAGAGGCATGGCTTCTCATTTTCTATGGGAGTGGAGGGGAAGAAACGTCCTCCCCACCCCCACCCCCCCACCTCTGCCCACACTCTCTACATTTCCTTTATACTGCTCTCCATGACCGTTTTTTTCTCTAGCAAGTCTCCTTCTGCTGGAATGTAAACTCCACAGAGCTGGGGTCTCTGTCTTGGTTACTGTGTGTCCACGGGTCAGAACAGTATCTGACACCAGGTGCTCAGTAAGTGTTTCACAGAATTAATCTGTGAAGTGTGATGGGGACTCTCAGCTCGGGGGGAAGAGATACACAGTGGGGCCATACCACACCCCTCTGCCTGCAGTGATTCCACCCCCCGACACAGTTTCCCAAATCTGTCCACACTCTGGAGTGCCAGCAGGCCGGGGTCTGCTTCCTGAGCGCCTGACGCTGGAGGGGAAAGGGCTGGAAAGGGCTGGAAGGACCCCAGGAGGAGGGGACCTGCTGCTTACCTGAAGGTCTGAGGGAGTATGGGTATGCATTATCTGTATTATATGTGTGCATGTGTGTATATGTGTGTGCACACATGCGGGTGTCCAGTGATTTGTCCAGTATTTTCTGCTGGGTTCCCGCGGACAGTGCGGTGCCTGGGCTGCGGGCGGGCGCGCAGACCCGCCTTGGGGGGCTGTCCTCGGTAGAGGCGGGCCACAGCCTCCTCCCCAGAGTTCCTCTTTCGCCGCTGCCACGTGTGGTCTGGGGAGGGGTGCGCCGGGCCAGGGAGGGGTGTGCAAGGGGCCGGGGAGGGGTGTGTGGGGCCGGGGAGGGGTGCGCGGGGCCGGGGAGGGGTGTGCAAGGGGCCGGGGAGGGGTGCACCGGGCCGGGGAGGGGTGCGCGGGGCCGGGGAGGCTGCCACCGCTGGGGAGGCGACCTGCCGCAGCGGGGTCGCTCGGATCGACCCTCCACAGGCCTGGGGTGCCGGGGGCCCCGCCCGCCCGCGAGGCGAGGGCGCGGATCTCCCCGCCCCCCGCTCGGAGGGGCGCAGGCTCCGCGGAGCGAGGACCACGCTCCTCGGGTAGCGCCGCCGGCTGCGCGCGTGCCGGCCCCGCGCAGCGCCTCCCGGCTCCCTGGGCGCCTGCCCGGAGGGCGGCCCGCTCCCCGCAGCCCCGCGGGCCCGGCTGCCGCAGTCCCGGCGGCGGAGCAGCGCCGAGCGCCCAGGTACCGAGCGCGGGCAGAGCGGGCGGAGGCCAGGCGGCCGGAGGGGAGGGACGGAGGCGCGGCCGCCGCTGCCCTGTCCCCGCCGGCGGGCCGGGCAGACCACCCCGGGCTTCCCCGCGGGGGGCCCCACCCCGCGACCCCGAGCGCCACGGCCCTGGACCAGCGCACACCGGCCTCGGGGAGGGCCCCTTTGCCCTCTGCGCCTACCTCCCCGGGCCCCCGCCCTTCCCCCATCCCACCGCCCTTTCTAGGGGCCCTTCGCTCACCCGCTGACCCTCCAGGAGCCATCCTGCGCCCTGTGAGGCGCTCTGCTCCCCATCAGGGGCCCCTCCCAAACTTCCTACCCTTCTATCCGGGTGCCCCTGCCCTCAGCCGAGGACGCCTGTGTAACAGATTCCTCTCCATCCTCCTGGGTCCCTGCCCTGGACCCATCTCCCCATCCCTCTCTTCCCACCTGTCCAGAGAGGCGCGGGAGGGGTCTGATCTCACCCAGGACGCCCCTCCAGGCTCCGCACCGTCAGATCCTCGCCATCCTCAGGACTCCCCTCGTGGGTCTCACGGCCCGGCCGCCCCGATGGTGCCAGAGCCGGGCCCGGCGCACAACAGCACCCCGGCCTGGGGGTCGGGGCCGTCGCCGGGCGCCGGGGGCAGCGGCTGGGTGGCGGCCGCGCTGTGCGTGGTCATCGTCCTGACCGCCGCGGCCAACGCGCTGCTCATCGGCCTCATCGGCTCGCAGCCCGCGCTGCGCAACACGTCCAACTGCTTCCTGGTGTCGCTCTTCGCGTCCGACCTGCTGGTGGGGCTGGTGGTGATGCCGCCAGCCATGCTGAACGCGCTGTACGGGCGCTGGGTGCTGGCGCGGGGCCTGTGCCGGCTCTGGGCCGCCTTCGACGTGATGTGCTGCAGCGCCTCCATCCTCAACCTCTGCCTCATCTCGCTGGACCGCTACCTGCTCATCCTGTCGCCGCTGCGCTACAAGCTGCGCATGACACCCGCGCGCGCCCTGGCGCTGGTGCTGGGCGCCTGGTCGCTGGCCGCGCTCGCCTCCTTCCTGCCGCTGCTGCTGGGCTGGCACGAGCTGGGCCGCGCGCGGGCGCCCGCCCCGGGCCAATGCCGCCTGCTGGCCAGCCTGCCCTTCGTGCTCGTGGCGTCGGGCCTCACCTTCTTCCTGCCCTCGGGCGCCATCTGCTTCACTTACTGCCGGATCCTGCTGGCGGCCCGCAGGCAGGCCCTGCAGGTGGCCTCCCTCGCCACGGGCGCGGCCACAGGCATGACCGGCCAGGCCTCGGAGCCGTCACAGGTACCGGGGTGAGCGGGGAGATGGGGCTGGCGGGTTGGAGAGACAGGAGCAGGCCCCTGGGGCGTCTGTCTCTTAGTATGTATACACTTTCTGGCAAGGTCCGAGCCGCCACCCCCAGCTTTCCTCTGAACTCCAGACTCGGTGCGGGCCTGTCCACAGGACAGCTGCATGCGGAGGTGCGGCAGGCTGCTGGGAGGTGACACCTGCAAGAGGGAATTCAGGGCACCCAAGCCTCCCATCGGCTCCTGGGTCTCCCCCATGATGGCGGTGGCACCGTCATGACATCCCAGGCCAGAAACATAGGGATGATTTTCTCCCCTTGATCGTGAGACTCATTAGCGAGACCTGCTGGTGCTGTCTTTCACACACGTGCCATCTCAATGCCAGCCTCCTAAGCCAAGCCATTGCTACGTCTCACCTGGGGCCTTCGAGAGTCTCCCATGGGCCCCCTGCTTCCTCCAGACCCGCTCCCCTCCCTTTCCCGCACAGGAGTCAGAGTAGGAGAGAAAAGAGTGACCCCGGCACTATCTTGCTGCAAACCCTCCAATGGCTCCCTGTTGTTGTCAAGGTAAAGAGGAGACCCAGCCCGGCTGGTGTGGCCCAATGGTTGAGTATAAACCTATGAACCAGGAGGTCACAGTTCAATTCCCAGTGAGGACTCAATCCCCAGTGTAGGGTGTGCAGGAGGCAGCTAATCTATGATTCTCTCTCATCATTGATATTTCTATTTTTATCTCCCTCCTCTCTAAAATCAATTTTAAAAAGTGTGTGTGTTTGTGTGTGTGTGTGTGTGTGTGTATCCTATATAATAAAACCCTAATATGCAAATCAACTGAACAGCACATTGACCACCAGGGGGCAGACGCTCAACGCAGGAGCTGCCCCCTGGTGGTCAGTGTGCTCGCACAGGGGCACTGCCACTCAGCCAGAAGCAGAGCTGATGGCTGGTGAGCACAGCGGCTGTGGCAGGAGCCTCTCTCGCCTCCCCAGTGGTGCTAAGGACCCTTCAGGGGATGCTCAACTGCCGGCTTAGGCCCACTCCCTGTGCACTGGGCCTCTAGTATTGTACGTGTGTGTGTGTGTGTGGGTGTGTGTGTGTCCATGTCAGGATCTGGCCTCAGGAACCTGTCCTGCCAACCTCTCCCACTTCACCTCCCCTCCTCCCACTCTCTGCACCAGTCACATGGTTCTTCTGGCGCCAGGCTGACTTCTGGGCCAAGGTCTTTGCACTTGCTGCTCCCTCTGCCTGGAAACTGTCCCCCCAGAGCTCCCCTTGCCTGACTTTCTCAGCTCACAGGTCACCTCCCCCTCGAGGCCGTTCTGTGGACCCACGTCCTGTCTGACTAGCTGTTGACCTGTGTGATTTGTCTGTCTCCCCACGTGAATGGAAGCTCCATGAGGACTGGAATGTCTGGGTCGGTTTTGATCTCCACTGCACACGCTCATGCTTCCTGTCATTGTGAATGGGTGAGGTGCTCCATGTGCTGCCTGAGTCCTGTTGTCCACCCGAGGGGGCTTAGACTGACCGGACCTGAACCCCGAAGAATTAGGTCACATGCCGGAGGAAGTGTCAAGTTGGGCTCTCCAGATTCACCTTGGTGGAAGAGGCTCTTGCAGGATGGGGTGGGAGGTGCCTTGAGGGTCACTGGGTGAATAGGGAATTGGGTGGGGGCTGGGTGGGCAGGAGGTCCTGCCTGCAGGCCTGCTCTCTCCCCCTATCTGTGCTCATTGGAGGACATTCTGGAGTCTCGGCAGGTGTCTGTGGCCCTGGCTTGGCTCTTTAGCAGCAGGAAGAACCGCCACGGGCCAGCCCTACGCTCCTTGGGTTCTTGTAAAGGAACGTGTCCCGAACTTCAGGCACAGGGAACCACCTCTGGTTCCTGCCTTACCTCCCCTCTTCTCCCCAACTCTTCAAGCCACTTCATTCCTGTGTACTTAGCATTTTCTTTAAATCATCTCATTTATCTTTTTACTCCCATGCATTTGTTTAGGAAGGGAACTTGTTTCTTCCGGAAATGGAAAATCAATATTTTTGCCATAAATAGAAGGCGATCAGACACAGCTTCCGTGAGGGTGCAGAACCAGCAGTGTTCCCAAGACCAGCTCATTGGTCAGTGTCGGAGCCGAGGCCGGCTTCCTCTTTGTTGAGTGTTAGACGGATGGTAAAGCCAAAGGAGCATCCACATGAGGCTCTCTCATGACGTAAGCAGAGAGCAGATGTTCCGACTCTGTGGTTCAGTTATTTCACAGGATGTCCATTTACCACTTCAAGCCCCCGCCCGCCCCACATGAAGCTCTGCACCTCACCCGTGGACATGCAGAGTTTGTCAGTCACTGCGCCTGAGTTTGCAAACTGAAGCAAGGAGGGCACAGGAAGTCCTAAAACGAGTGCTGGGAGGATCATTTAGGCCAGCACACTGGGCCTCTCCCATCAGAAATGTGTCTGAGCTGATTCCTCCTGCTCCCGGGAGGCCTTTTCTCCTGGTTTGAGTGTGGAAGAGCCAGACCCCACCTCTCCACTCGCTTCCCAAACCACCCTGCTCCTAAGCAATCCTTCCGGTGCCATGGTCCATGTTGCCTGGAGAATCACTGCGTTTGGGATTTTGCTTCTGGGATGTGGCCTCTGTTCCGGCCTCCTGGGTCATGACCCCTTTCTTCCCACTCAGACAGTCCTGTCCGAGAGAACAGAGGGTGGAGGCTCTCTCAGTGCCTGGACTTACAGCAACTGATGAGAATGAACAAAAGCCAGGACACGTTGGGCCTCTTTCCTCCTGTTTTCAGCCCCAGTTAGCCCTTACCTCCCGCCCCAGTCCAGCCTCTGGCTTCCCCGCAGAAGCAAGGGAGTTGGGCATGAGTCCCTGAAGTCCCAGCGCCTCTGGGCTGAGATCAGGGAGCTGAGCAGGGCAAGCACCTTCTTTCTCCCTCCTCCCCTCTCCACACCTGCATCTTGATGCGAACGGGATTGGAAAAGCCACGTGTGGCTCAGCCCAGCCTTCGGGCCCCAGAGGCTGTGAGAAAGGGGGTCATGCTTAGAGCTGAGGCAGGGACTGTGGGCGTGGGAGGTGGTGATGTCAGAGTAAGAGGCTGCCTGAATGTTTGGGGGGGGGGGGGCGGGGAGGAAGAGAGAGAGGAGAATGGGCCCCAATGGGAGTGGGGCTCATCCTTGGGAGATTCCAGAGGGACCCGTGAGGGAGCTCAGCGTGGTGGGGAGCGAGTAGGAGGCCCAGCTGGCCATTTCTGCTTCCTCGGCTCCTCTGTCTGCCAGGATCCCGTGTCTCCGGTCCACAGCCCCATCCCCATCGTCTTCCTCTGTACCTCGTCTTTCTCCCCTTCTCTCCTTCAGTTCCATTTCACCCCATTTTCTTCCTCCTGCGTCCCTCCAGCTTCCTCTGCACACTTCTCTCCCATCAATTTCTTCTCTTTTCCCTCCCTCCTCCCCAGCTTTCCCACCCTCCCTCACCCAGCTATGCATCATTCTGTCTTAGTAATCTATCTCCTCCATCTCTGCTTCCTCCTCCTCAGAGGGGGAGGCTGTGATCACAGAAATATCTCAGAGGGAGAGGAGGGGCTGGACTGGGGAGAGGCTGACGGAGGAGCAGTGTCGAGCAGGGCAGGCTTGGCTGCTGCTGGGTCCGAGGCGACCTTGTGGAGCCAGGGCTGGGAGCAGGAGCCTGTGTGTCTGGCTGGTCATGGGCTCAAGTCCTGCCATCACACCCAGATGAGTTCAGACAAGTCCTCCAACTCCCTATGCCCCTGGGGTAATGCTACAATAGTTAGCACCTGAGGTTGAGAGAAGAACCAATAAGATGATATATATACTCTTGGTACACAGAGTGCTCAACAAATGTTCTCCTTTCCCCTTGTGGTAAAAATGGTTCTGGGGAGCTCACCGCCTTTTGAGCCTTTCTAGGAAAAAACACTATTGATGCCACCACCATCATCATCATCATCACCATTATCCAAGAGATAAACTGGACACTGACAACAGCCAACAACAGTATAGCTAACACATGGCATACACCATGTGCCAGGCTCTGCCTGAGTAACTCACTGCATACTCTCTTACTTCAGTTAATTCTTACCACAGTCATCTGAGGTCCATGCTATTGTGATTGCCATTCTGCAGACAGGAAATCGGAGGCACAGAGAGGTGAAGTGCCTTGCGGAAGGTCTACACCCAACCAACTGAGCCAGGCAGGACATGACTTCTTTGAAGCCTGTTAGTATTCTACAGTGGGATGTGCCATGGTTTATTTAACTGCTCTACTTCTGATGGACATTTAGGCCATTTCTGCCTTTTTCTTTTTTTTTTTTTCTATCACGAATAATGCTGTGGGACACCTTCTTATACCTGCCGAGGGTGCAGACCTGTGGGGGTTCTTATGAATATAGTCACCCGTTAGCGGAATTGGCCACTGGGAAGGCACTGCCAGGTTGTCCTCCAGGTCTGTGGTCACCAACTGGTGGTCCATAAGGCCCGAAAAGTTGGGGACCGCTGCTCCATGAGTCTGCCCTCTGACAGTCACGCTTGTCATGGACACGTATAAGGGACATGTAGAGACAATGTGACCACGAGGGGCCATGAGGTGGGTATGGGACAGAGAGGAGTGGGGAGGGGGAGGCTGGCATCAACCAGAGCCCGGGGTGTGGGCTGACGGTTGCCATTGGGTCCTGCCCTGTGAGGGGCTCTTGGTGACAGCAGTAGGGTTTTTGCAGCCCCACCCTGACTATGGCCCATGGATGCACCCCCCCCCCCAAATGGCAGCGGGATGGTGAAGCGCAAGAAGTGCAGCTCCTGGAGCCAGAAATGACATTGGCCCTGAGTCAACACAAATCTGCGGTTACTTTGCCTCTCTGAACCTCCTCTGCAACATGGAGATAATAGCACGCGCCTCCCATAGAGATGGAACGGCACCATGGATATCAAATGCTGGTGCATAGTTAGCGCTCAATAAATGGGGTCACCAGCAGGAGCTTCTCCTCCCGGATAACCATGGTGGGGCCACACAAGCCATGTGGAGACCACTCTGGAGGAGAGAAAACGAGAAGAGGGAAGAGAAAAGCAGATCCCCACCCTTGCCTGCCTGCCCTTCTGCCTTGCCACAGCACGGTGAGTCAGAGCATTTGTCCTGACGTCTGTGCTGTTTTGGGGAGCCAGAGCTGCTGGCAGAAGGACCCAGCTCCCGAGGGTGCTGAAATTTCTTCAACCTCATACACTCACCCTGAGCTCACATCAGGGCTACCATGTATGTAGCACTTTGTGTTGGGCACTGTGGATGCATTTATTACCCCAGCCCCACAGCGACTCCGTATGCTTCTCCCTCTTTACAGATGTGGGAACAGAGTTGTTTCTCCCTCTTTACAGATGTGGGAACAGAGACTCAAGGCCACAGTGTGAGCAAGTGGTAGAGGCATGGTTTGAAGCCAGGTCCCTTGTCTTAAAAGCCCTGCCTCTGCCCCACGCTGCCCCACGGAGGCAAGAGGGAGGGAGCAGGGGCCTCTCCTTGTTTGCTCTTTGTGAATTGGTCCTTGATAATCCTATAACCAGGCTTCACCTGGGCAAACACACCGAGGGCTGGCAGTTGCCGTGTGCTTCATGTCTCCCCTCCTGCCCACTGACATTTCAGAATCAGACCCCCTGATCCTATAGGTGGATAGTAGGGAGCTGGTGTTTCAGCACCATGGACAGGAACAAAGACTCTGCTTCTTTGAGGAGGCTGGGGAAGGCAAGGCTGGAAGGTGTGTGTGTGTGTGTGTGTGTGTGTGTGTGTGTGTGTGTGTGTGTGTGTGTTGGTGGTGGTGGTGGTGGTGGGGTGTCCTGAATCTGAGAGCACGTGGGGGGATTGACTTTTGTGCTAATGTGATGGGGCTGACACCTCCTGGCTTTGTCTCTTCCGCCCCCTTTCCATTTGGGAAGGTTGCTTGGGAATCTGGTTCCCTTATTGCCTCCTTTTGACTCTGTCATCTCTCTATACCCAACCCACTCCTGGCTGCCTCATGAACTAAGCTGCAGTTTAGGAAATGTTGGGGGCATTCTGTAGGCAGGTCTCACTTTGTGTACATGTTATATATGAAAATCCAAATTGCTTACAACCTGTGGTTTAGGGGAGGACTCCCTGGACTCTCAGCGGTTCATGACTGGACCTTACAATGGTCTCAGAAGCTCCTGGAAGTGTGGGAATTTTTTTTTTTTTTTTGATTTTGTTTTTTTGTTTTTTACACATTTATGTGTAACAATGGAGAAGCTTTTAGTTTTCTGGGGAGTAGTGTTTATTTCATTAGATTCTCGGTGGGCTCATGAGGTTGAAACAGTTATGGGAACTTGTGGGTGGAAGGATCATCCAGTTCAGGGAGACATTTTCATGTTTTGAGGCTGCGGACCCCCCCAGTTTTCAAAGTCATAATCTAATGTCCCTGTCCCCCTTCCGATGGCTGCTCTGGGGCAGCTCTGTTCTCCCCCTTCCTCTCCACACCCCTGCTCTTCAAGTCTGTGTTCGGGAATGGAGACGTCTGCCAGCGCACACATAATCTGAGCTGTGCAATGCCAAGGTCACGAGCACCCCTAGTAAATTATAATACATTTCATTGTAAACGTTTGCTGTCTGTACATGTTTTCAAAATAGCACTTTATTTTGTGGAGGGTGAGGGTAACAGTGCAAGCAAACAAAACCTTACTCCAGACCAGGCGTCCTCAAACTTTTTAAAGTGGGGGCCAGATCACGGACCCTCAGAGAGCTGGAGGGCCTTACTATATGAACTACTAATTCCTACTGTAACACCTCGGCTGCGCTCACTGCCCAAAAAACCTGGCGGGCCGGATCAGACTCCTCTGCAGGCCGCATGTGGCCCGCAGGCCGTAGTTTGAAGACGCCTGCTCCAGACCATGAGGAGAACCCATATACAGTACAAAGAGATTGCCACGTCCTGGACAGCAACAGGGGCTCTTGTCAAATACTCTTCAATTGCAACCAATTCTTGTAGCGCCAAAGGCTTTGGGGGGTGCTGGGGCTCACGGTCGTGCATGCTGGCCCGTGCAGAGCTGTCCTTTGCATGGAGCGTGGGTCTTTGGAACTGGTTTGTGTTTGGGGCAGTGTCGCTCTGTCTCACTGTAGTGCCTAGAGCTCGTTGGGAAGAGCTGGGTCAGGATCAGGGCTCAGTCTATCGCTGGGGTCAGGGCTCAGTCTGGGGCTAAGGTTGGCTCAGTCTGGTCCCCGGTTGAGTTTGACAACCGTGGTTATACAGGACTTAGTCTATGGAAGCCTTCAGGGATCAATCAGTCCTTGGCTCATGGCTGATGGCAGGGTTTGGTCTGGAGTCAGGTCAGGCCTCAGGTTAGGGCTGAGTGGGGGCTGAGTCAAGGATCAGGACTGAGTCAAGGATCAGGACTCAATTTATTGCTGATACTGGGGTCCAGTCTAGAATTAGGGTTGAGGCTCAGTCTGTGGAGGGGATCAGGGTCAGGCTGGGGCCCTCTCTCTCCGCTGACTCACGTGACCTTCCTTCCGGCAGGCGCCCAGGACCCCACGCCCAGGGATGGAGTCAGCTGACAGCAGGCGTCTGGCCACCAAGCACAGCAGGAAGGCCTTGAAGGCCAGCCTGACCCTGGGCATCCTGCTGGGCATGTTCTTTGTCACCTGGCTGCCCTTCTTTGTGGCCAACATAGCCCAGGTAATGCCAGTGCAGGGGGCAGGGGAGTCCAGGCCTCCCTGGGGAGGCCTCCAAGCCCCACCGCAGCCCAGTCACGGAGGGAGGAAGGTGGGCTGCTGCTCATGGGCTGTTTGGCTGTGTGTGTCCCGGCTGTGCTGGGTCGGGGGGTCTGTGTTCCTGCTCCGAGACCAGACGTGACGCACCCTTCCCTCCAGGCTGTGTGCGACTGCGTCTCGCCAGGCCTCTTCGATGTCCTCACGTGGCTGGGCTACTGCAACAGCACCATGAACCCCATCATCTACCCCCTCTTCATGCGGGACTTCAAGCGGGCCCTGGGCAAGCTGCTGCCCTGCCCCCACTGGCCCCAGGAGCCCCGGGCCAGCGCGGCCTCCCCCTCCATGCGGACCTCCCACAGCGGCGCCAGGCCGGGCCTGAGCCTGCAGCATGTGCTGCCTCTGCCCCTGCCCCCGGACTCCGACTCCGACCCTGACTCAGGCTCAGGGGGCTCCTCGGGCCTGCAGCTCCCGGCCCAGCTGCTGCTGCCGGGAGAGGCCACCCGGGACACCCTGCCGCCAGCCAGGACTTCGGCCACCGTCAACTTCTTCAACAGGGATCCCGCGGAGCCCCAGCTGCGGCTGCATCTGCTTGGTGCCCCCACGAACTGAGGGGGCTTGTGGTTGGGGTGTCAGGGGGGAGCTGGGCTGGGGGAAACCAAGCCCCCAGGCCTGGGGCCAGCTCCCGGCTGAGGCCAGGAGGCTGCAGGTCTCTCGGGAGCCCTCTGAACTCTGGTGGTGGGCACAGAGTCAGCCCCACTACCCACACCAGGCCTCCCCCTGTGGGGTAATCGCTGGCTTCATGCAGTGTCTCCAGGATGCTGCTCTGCTGGGTGTAACTTGGGTAGAGAATGGTTGGAGGGCTCTGGGAGTGGGGGAGGGGGCCCTTGGCTCAGATTAGGACAAAGATTGTGGCCATTGCACATTCTATCAGATCACACATTTGCAGAGACGGGTCAGTGCAGGCTGAGCCCTTTGCTCCTCTGACTGTAGTTCGTGGGCATGGTCTCTGGGGAGTTTGCTGAAAATGCACACCTCTGCCCCCCACTCCGGACCTGCCGAGGCATAATCTACATGTGAGCGAGGTCCCCGGGGACTCGGGTGTGCGCATGGTTTGAGGTGTGCTGGTTAGCTGACCTTTAACCCTGAGGATGGTTTGCTAGACAGTTTTTGGACCAGGAGCCCCTCGGAGGTGTGTGGCCTCCCAGGGACCCCCTGTGCCTGGGAGCCAGGCCGGCCTCAACTGGAATCCCTGCCCATTACTGACTAGCTCTGCACGGGCGACTTAACCTCTCTGAGCCTGTTGTGGGATGTGTAACCTGGGGCAGTGATGCCTGCCTCGTAGACTGTCATGAGAACTGGGACAATAGCATCGGACGCCAGCACCCGGCAGATAGTGGTGGGACCTGAGGTTAAACCTCTCGGCCATTCAGCCCCCTGGCCTCTGGCTGCGGGCCAGGAAGGGCCATTTGTTCCCATTGTTTCCCTCGTCTTCCTCCTCTTCCTCAGCCCCTCCCAGCTCCCAGGCTACGGCACTGCCTCTCCCGGGGCACAGGGGTGGCTGGTGGTTTTTGCCCAACATCTGGGATGGGTGTCCTCTGCCCTGGGCTTCGTTGGACCTAGAAGGGGACCTGCTGATACAGAACCAGCCCCTTGTCCTCCCTCCCTCCCTGGGTCAGTGGGGGAAGAGGGAGTGGTGGCCACTCAGGTCAGCAGATTGAAGAGGAGCTGTGCCTGGTGTGGGCTGGTGCCTCGAGCAGGCAGGTGACCTCCGGCACAGGGACCTGGGTTTTTTGTTTGTTTTGTTGTTGAGGGAGTGCTCAGTGACTTTGCCTGCTATAGGTTCCTTTTCAGTCTGAGGTTTTTCCCGAGAGCGCGTCCGTGTCCGTGCAGCATCCACGTACCCTGCTGCCATTTTTAATCTTCAGTCTGAGGTTTTTCTTACTCCCCACCTGCACCAGGTTCCATCAGCCCACAGTCCTAGGGGGCTTTCCGCAGGTGGCCGGGCACTCTCCTTGGTGCTGATTAGACTCCGGCTTTGGCTGCTGGCCACGGGCTGCAGAGGGTCCATGGTGCTTGTTGGGGCTTCCCCTCTGCCCCAGGCCTGCTCGAGTGGACGATCAATAAACACTAGCTGACCGCAGCGACTGCATTGTGGACTGGATTCACGGGAGTGTGGACTGGGTCCGCTGGAGGGGCCACTCGGGCTGGGGATGCTGCTGATGGAAGTGGGAAGAGACCCTGGCACAGGGACCTGGGTTCATGTCCACACTCTGCCCCTAGTTTGCTTTGGGACCTCAGCCAAGTCACCTACCCTCTCAGGGGCTCAGCTTCCCATGAGCTGTCTGGAATAATGGCAGCAAGAGTCTGTAAATATTTGCTAAATGAGCGAACAAATACACATGCCCCTGAGGGCCAGTTCAGCTCCAACACCAATTCCTCCCGTCTCTCCTCCCCACTGCCTGCTCGCGAGCTTGCCAACACTTTCTCTGTGTGGATCTCGATTTGCCCATCTGCACAATGGGTGTGGGACGACCTCTGGCCCTGTCACTCATGGGCAGTGGGAGGAACAAAGGGGAAGGTCCTTAGAGGTGTAGGGTCCCTGGATCTTGCTGGCACAGCTGGGGCAGCCCAGTGGGTTGGGGCTCACGTCATGGCTGCACGTCTGGGGGTTCTCTGCAGGGCAGGCAGCAGCAGGAAGCGAGGCCCCTTCGGGCTGGTCCAGCCCCACTGGCACCTGGTACAATGGCTAAGAGCTGGGCTCCAGAGGCCCACGCTTGAGATGGACCAGCTGTGTGACCTTGAGTAGGTCACCTGACCTTTCTGGGCATCAGTGGCTACAGGTGTAAAATGAAAATGGTACTACCCTGTTTCCCCGAAAATAAGACAGTGCCTTATATTAATTTTTTCTCCCAAAGTTGTGCGAGGTCTTATTTTCAGGGGATGTCTTATCTTTCCATGCGCTAGGTCTTATTTTCGGGGAAACACGGTAGTAGCTGCCTCATCCGGTTGCTGCAGGGGCCAACTGAGGCAATTCATGGTCAATACTCGCTAGGTGGTAGCCCTTCTTTATTTTCACCATCACCATCACCATCCCCTCTGCTCCTGCTACAGGCAATCCTTCCCCCGCATCACCCACTCTTGCTACCAGGCCCAGCTCCCACCCGTACCGCATGTGGATTCAGCATTGCTCGCTGTGCTCTGTAACAGTTATATCCAGGGCCGCCATGTGGTACAGCTTTGGGGGTGCCTCTCTCATAGCATCGGGGTGACTGGCACCCCTGTTGTTGTGCAGTGCACAGCCCACGTCTGATCGGCTCTCCCAAGAGCAGAGGGAGCGAGATGCCTGCTCCTTCTGGTGCCCACTCCGTAGGTGTCAGAGGTGTCCGTGGGCTGGTGGGCAGTCCTGGCGTGGAAGGAGGGCAGGCAGATGGAGGTGTGGGTGGGGGGGGAGTGGCAGGTAGGAACCTCAGGCCCCAAAGAGCCCCCCGGACCTCCTGATGGGGAGCCAGCCCCACTCTGTGACCTAGAGGAGTCCGAGGCTCTCAGCTGGGCGTGGTTGACTCTGCAGGGGAGGAGCCAGCGTCTCCCTACAACACCCCCTCCCATCAATTCCTTGCTCTTCACCCCCACAGCCTGCATTTAGGAAAGGCACTTCATGGTGGAAAGTCTTCCCAGCTCCTGCGGGGAGCCTGGTGGGCGGGGAAGAGCACCACATATGGAAATCTGGGACGACGGCTCCAGTCCCCTGTGGGGTCAATCCAGCCCCGGGCCCGGTCCCTGGGTCTCGCTGGCACAGCTGGGGCAGCCCAGTGGGTTGGGGCTCACGCCATGGCTGCAGGTCTGGGGGTTCTCCGCGGGGCAGGCAGCAGCAGCAGGAAGGGAGGCCCCTTCCAGTTGGTCCAGCCCCGTTGGCACCTGGGGTTGGCTGGGGTCAGCGGATGTGGGCACTTGGGAGGCGTCTCTGAGTGCGGAACCCTGAGTTTGCCCATCCTGGTCGCTGGTCTTGTCCGATGAGGCGGCGGCTGCCGCCTGGCGAGGCTCCTCTTGGGGCACGTTGCTTGGGGCCATCGTCAGCCCCTTTTCGTCCCAGCCTGGCTTGGTGGGGATGCCCACGGCCTTCAGGATGATGTCCATCTGCTTGCCATAGTCCAAGTGGCCGCTGACCTGCAGGAGGACAGTGAGTGAGGGCACCGTGGGGGGCAGAACCCAGCCCTCCCCAGGGCCCCAAGCTAAGCTCCTGGGCCTCACCCTCCATCACACACGCTCTGTCTCCAGCTCTCCATGACTCTGATATCCAGAGTGGGGCGGGGACCTCTACGTTCAAGGCTGCTCTAAAACCCCTGAGGTAACGATGAAATCTGGGTCCTGCTCTGGGCAGTGGAGGTTCTCATTCTGCAGCTGTAAGTTGTGGAGGAAGGGCTCTGCTGCTCACCACCCAGCTCTTGGCTCTTTTTTTAAAATTTATTTATTTTTTATTTAAAAAAATATATTTTATTGATTTTTTACAGAGAGGAAGAGAGAGGGATAGAAAGCTAGAAACATCGATGAGAGAGAAACATCTATCAGCTGCCACTTGCACACCCCCTACTGGGGGATGTGCCCGCAACCAATGTACATGCCCTTGACCGGGATCGAACCTGGGACCTTTCAGTCCGCAGGCTGACGTTCTATCCACTGATCCAAACCAGTTTTGGCTAGCTCTTGGCTCTTATTCTCTGACCTCCACTTGCCTCAGCTGTAAAATGGGGATAATAAGCGTAGCTACATCAGAGCGTTGCTGTAAAGGCCCCAGCCTGACAACAGAGCTATGTCACAGACTTCTTCTACAACCCACTCTCCCCCTTTCCCTGAGTCATAGAACTTCAGTGTATGGCTGGACACCTTCTTCTCTTGCAGCTGAGCATAGCACTGTGATAAATTCTGGCCGATGAATGAAGCGGCAGTGTTATGTGGTACCGCCTGGAGGTCTCTTTAAAAGGGGGCGTGCTCTCCTTTCCCCCATATTTCCTTTCCTGCTGGCTGGAACTCTGACGTGATGGCCAGAGGCAGCTCACGAAGTCCACCTGCTGGCTTGCACAGCAGCAAGGCCGGGAATTTTGGCCCCTGAAAACTAAGGAGCCACCATCCCAGCCCTGAACAACCTATTCTGTCCTGTTCTTACATGACAGTATCAACTCTTTTTGTTAAAGCCACTTCAAAGGGGCCTCGGTTAACTGGACCCGAATCTTCAGGTCAGGAACTCAGATGTGCCACCCTCTTCCTCCAAGACTAGAGACACCCCCAGTTTACTGTGTGTGGATGTGTCAGCAGAAGTGTGAATAGAATGCCAGATGCCCAACTGCGATAATGAACCGTGCTCAACACACAGGCGGTCCTTCATACGTTGCGGAAAATGAACGTACTGGATGTACTCCTTGACAGGAGTTGGCTACTAATTATAGATGAAGACATTGAGCCATAGAGAAGTAAAGTGACTTAAGTCATACAGCTGGAAAAGTATCAGAGCTGAGATTTGAGTCAGGTCTGTTCTCTTCACAGATAATCAGTGAACGAGAGGAAATTTTAAAAAATCACTCACATTTTACAGATGAGACAGTGAAGCTCAGAGAGGGGCGGTGGTTTGCTTAATGACACACAGCACGGGGAGAGCAAAGCCGCGTGCTGTGCTTGAGAGGTGCTTGCGAGGAGGAGTGCAGAGGTTGCTCAGCTCAGATCTGCTCCCTGCCCTGGAGTCCCATGCTTTACCGCCCAGGGTAGGGGGTCTGCAGTCCGTGTCAAAGGTAAACCTGAGACAGAACTTCCCTTCAAGGCTGAAGAGGAAGACTCTGCTTATAACAAAGACAGGGAAACCCGGGGGGGGGGGGGGGGGGCGAGGGAGGGGAGGGGAGGCTGGTGTGGGGAGCCTTAGGAAGCCACACAAAGGCTTGGCTGATAACATCTGCATTTCCATCTGAATCACCGATCACACTGGCTTATGCAAACCACTTCTCAAAAACACAAAAAGATAGTTCCCTGTACAGTGTGTTATTTTCTCATAACCAGAACCTGCCTACTTCTCGTTCTTTTCTTACCAAAACGTGCAAATCGTGTTCAGTGACAGCACTCACACAGAAGGGCCTCTCAGACTCCTGGGTACAGGGTGGGGGTCAAGGTGGGGCAGCTGCCTCCGCAGAGGGTGGGCATTAGAACCGGAGTTTGGGACCTGAGAAACGCCTTGGCTCTGTCTCTGACTAGTACCTGGGTGAGTCCTTACGAGGTCCGGAACCCCGGGTCCCCATCTGTAAAATGAGGGTCATCACACCCACCCTGAATGACAGCTACAAGAGTTCAAGGGCCTGGCATTTCCAAGGGACCCCGAATATGCTCCCTCTTACTGTTATGTTCCACGGGGGACCCAAAACAGTTCTCCAGGGACATTAACTAACTAGGGAGATGCTCACAGCACCTCCAGCACAGCACATGGCTTTGCTCTTCCCCTGTTATGTGTCACGGACAAGCTATCGCCCCTCTCTTGGCTCCACATGACCTCAGGGTGTCTGTGGGAAGATATAATGCAAACAAGCCACAAATGTACATTCCCCTTACCTTAGTTTCCTTGGAAGCAGGGGGTGGAGGGGAGGGCGTTAGCTAGGCGGATCTAGGTGGGAACCCAAAGTGGCTGCCAAGCTCTAGCCATCATGTCTGCATCCCAGCCAGCAGAAACCTAGACCCACAGGAACAAGCAAGAACTGCCGCCCTATCCCTTTCCAATGTTGGTGAAGGTGGTGCTAGGGCTGGGTGGAGGCAGGCAGGGAGGACGGAGGGAGGTGTCTGTGGCCACTGGCTACAGCTGATTCCAGACGGAAATTCGGTGTGCAGCTTCCTAGAAGGCACAGCTCTGGTCCTTGGGGGCCACAGGTCTGGGTCCCAGCCCACCCTGTTCCTGAGCTGCCATTCTGCAAAGACCCAGGGGGAGAACTCGCTGGCGGAGCTCCAGTTTTATAGATAGGGGGGAGGGGGGAAGAAAAGGGGGAGGAAGGAAACACGGGGGAGGCGGGGGGTGGGGGGGAAAAAGAGTATCTTTAGCAGTGGAAAGTTCTGGAGTGGCTGATGTTGGATCAAGATTTCAGCTTAGCCGTAGCAGGTTTGGCTCAGTGGATA